TCCATAAAGCTGAGCACAATGGAACATGATGTTCAGGAGGCTAAGGCAGGAGAATCACAAGTTTGGGGCCAGCCTCAGTGATTTTAAAAAGTAGCTGAATGTGGTGACATATGCCTATAATCCCATCAACTCAGGAGTCTCATACAAGAATCTCACAAGATTGAGGCTAATCCCAGCAATTTAGTGAGATCCTCGGCAATTTAGCAAGACCCTGGCTCAAAATAAAAAGTAAAAAGGGCTGGGGATATAGCTCAGTAATAAAGTACCTGTGTTCAATCCCAGCTATCAGGAAGAAAAAATCTGGACATAATATAATGAGCATCTATCTGAAACTTGGAAAGCAATTAGAAGCAGAGAGGTTTTTTGTTTTTGATTTTGTTTTTTCAGTACTAGGAGTTGAATTCAGGTGTGCTTTACCACTAAGCTACACCTCCAGCCCTTTTTTTTGTTTTGTTTTGCTTTTTTGTTTTTGAGGCAGAATCTCACTAAATTAACCCAGGTAGGCCTCAAACTTGCAGTCCTCCTGCCTCAACCTCCCAGGTTGCTAGGATTACAGGCATGCACCTCTACACCTAGCAGGTAGAATATTAAGGGGAATCTGTGCTTAGAGCAGAGATAGTATACAAATTGTGTTCCCATCCTCTTTGCTTAACCTAGAGACAAGGTTCAAAGGTTAGTTGTGAAGGCATGCAATTCATTAGGGGCCCTAACAGAGAAATCACAGAATGTCTGATCTGGGTAACCAGAAGATGAAATCTGGGGAAAACTATAGCCACAGGTTGAAAAAGGGCAATCCTCGAAGGGAAAGATTCAGAAAGAGGATTCCCAAATTCTGTTTACATCTCCAGCTAAACTCTAAAACAAGCAATATAATTTCCTGCTTAAAAAACAAAAACAGGGGTTGGGGTGTAACTCAGTAGTAGAGCACTTGCCTATCATGGACTAGACCATGGATTCTATCCCCCACACTACAAAAAGAAAACAAAAATATAAATACTCATTGGAGAGCAGAATCCAGAGTTTCCATAATTTAACATTTGTAATA